TCCCACTGCGCGCCCCCTGGAGCGCCAAGCACCCCTGGGACTTTTGCGCGCCCCGAGTCCCCAGCATAGCCCCGGAACCCCGCGCACCTCCGGACCTCGGTACTGGCCCAGGCGTCCCGCGCTCCCCTGGACGCCGACACAGCTCCTGGACCCCGCGCGCCCTGGGAACTCTGGGACCCCCGAGTGCTCTGGGAACCCCAGGGCCGGGCCAAGGGGGCTGCGTGCCCTGGGGAGGGGGCCCCGCCCCAGAGGGTCCCCCACTTCCTACAGACGGAGCCCCGCCCCTTAGGGACCCCCAGGTCCGACCAGGACATCCAGCCACGCCCCGGAGGGCTCCCAGCATCCAGTGGCTGGAGCCCCCGCGCTCTTGAGAAAGCTCCGTGCCCAGCTGGGGGCTCTCCGCCCCGTGGAGGGGGCGCCGCCCAAGAGGGTTCCCCGCGCCCCGCGGGTCCCGGCAGGATGCACGCCGCCCTGGCGGGGCCGCTGCTCGCCGCCCTCCTGGCCACCGCCCGCGCCCGCCCGCAGCCCCCGGACGGAGGACAGTGCCGGCCGCCCGGATCGGTGAGCGAGCGCCTGCCCAGCCGCGTTCTCGCCCGCCCGGGGAACTTCAGTCCCTTGGGGACGATGATGGGGTCTTGCCTTCTGCACCCACTTCATCCTGCCCGCTCCACCTCTGCTGAGCGGGCGCAGCCTCGGGGCGCCCTTCCCTGCCGGCTCCTGCTCGGTCCCCGCGAGCCGAGATGGGGCGCTCCTCTCTCCGGTCCTCCACACTCTGACGCTCGCTGGCCCGCTCTTCTCAGGATTCTCCTGACCCTGGGGACATTTCTCCTTTCCCTGACACCTTTGCCCGCCCTTCTTTCGCCCTGCTTTAGCCTTCCGAGCTCGGCTCCTTTCGGACTACCATCCCCAGCTCTCTCCCCTCGGACTTCGATCAGACCCTTTCCCTCATTCACACACCGGCTGGCTCCCAGGCTTCGCTCTCAGTCACCCTGCCCGCCCACTTTGACCCCAGGCAAACTTTCTACCTAGTGCTGATCCCCTCTCCAGCCCAGGCCCCTGCCTGCTCCCGCTTTCCCAAGCGCTCTTGTGCGGAAAGGGGGACCATTCCAGAGAAGAGCGCAAGGCAGGGCTTGCTGGCTTAATATTTCCTTGAGGGCCCAATAATCACTTCTCCTAATTTTTCTTCCTAAACAAGGACTTCCGTAATTTGCTCTTGTTCTCCTGCCCCCTCCATTAGTACCCCACCCTCACAAGTGTTAACTGCTATGTGAAAATAACCCAAGATTGGCTGTTGGGAGAGAGTCCTCCCACTCTGCTACCAGCGGGGAGTTCTTGACTTGACCTTGGGCAAGGTGCACCTTCACGCCCTGCCCTGCCCTGCCCTGGCCTGCCTGCAACTGGAACTGGTTGACTGGCTAGGCTCTAATTCCAAGACACTGGGTCTTAGAATTCTGGGGTTGTCAGTAAAGTACAGTTCGCACCTCCCTCCCAAATCACTCACCCAAACGTGAACCTTTAATTTGTGCTACAATAGGGGTGAGGTGTGTGTGTGTGTGTGTGTGTCTGTGTATGAGGATCTAAAACTTGCAAGTGGGCAGTGAGCAGTCCAGGGATAGTTCTTTTTTTGCGGGGTGGGTCACTTTTCCTGAGAGAAATGATCATCCCCTCCTCATGCTCCTTGACCCTGCCCCTAAATGAAGGCCCCTCTGTACGCCTCTAATAGTGCTAATACTTCTACTTCCCCTTCCCCCTCTTCCACATCCCTCCACCCCCTTCTTCTCTCTCCCTCTCTCCCAATTAGTCTGATGTTATTAGGTCACAGAAGATGACAGAATTGGGCTTGAAGACGAGATACACCTTTAAGGAAGGAAACTGGAAAGTGTGGGGACTCTGCACATTTCTTAGGATGAATTCCATGGCACCCTCCCCACCAGAACCAGGGCTATTCCGGGCTCATGCCCTTTCTCATCTGTGATCTCAGCAGGTCCAACAGAGGAGCTGACACTCCAGCCCTCCCCTCCCCAAAGAAAACCGTAGCCACCCTGGTGCATCGGAAGTAGCTGTTAAATAGGTGTGCTATTTTTAATAGGTGCTCTACTTTCAAGGTGCTCTTGGCGTGTATCTCGGAATGGTTGGATTGTAAAGTTCTATGACTTCCTTCCTTCTTTCCAGAGCAGGACTCTTGGTCTCTCTCTCCTCCCACTCCCCACAACACACCACCCACCCCGGAAGGAAGGTTTGACTTGGCCAACCATGCATGTTCTCCGGTGGTGTGGCAGTCCTTGGCACTTGTGCGACTGCTAATCATAACGACCGCTTCCCCATCATGGTTCACTTCTTCTGGGTCGGCACTGCACTCTGGGTGGGATGGACTCCTCTGGTGCCTTTGAATCCTCACAGCCACCCCTGAGATAGCTGCTGTCATGCCCGTCCCCGTTTTACACAGGGGGACACTGAGTCTATAGGATGAGAAATGGTTTGCTCAAGATCACATATATAGCAAAGACAGGGCCCTGTTGGGATTTGCATATGGGTCTTCCTGGTTCCCAAACCTGAGTCCCTTACCACAGCCCAGTGTAGTTCTATATCTGCCACCCTCACTCCTCCCTTGGCAGCCCTCCGTGCCAACTTCGGCTCTTCTCAGCTGCCTTGCCCTTCACTGTCTGCCTTCTCTCTTCTTCCCCTGCAGCAGAGGGACCTGAACTCCTTCCTGTGGACTATTCGGCGCGACCCTCCAGCGTACCTGTTTGGTACCATCCATGTCCCATACACCCGCGTGTGGGACTTTATCCCAGACAACTCCAAGGCGGCCTTTCAGGCCAGCGCCAGGGTCTACTTCGAGCTGGATCTGACGGATCCCTACACCATCTCGGCGCTGGCCAGCTGCCAGCTGCTGCCCCACGGGGAGAACCTGCAGGACGTGCTGCCCCGGGAGCTGTACTGGCGCCTGAAGCGCCACCTGGACTACGTGAAACTGATGATGCCCTCGTGGATGACGCCCGCACAGCGGGGCAAGGGGCTGTATGCGGACTATTTGTTCAACGCCATCGCGGGCAACTGGGAGCGCAAGAGGCCTGTGTGGGTGATGCTCATGGTGAACTCGCTCACGGAGACGGACGTGCGCTCCCGCGGTGTGCCTGTGCTGGACCTCTACCTGGCGCAGCAGGCCGAGAAGATGAAGAAGAGCACCGGGGCGGTGGAGCGAGTGGAGGAGCAGTGTCACCCCCTCAATGGGCTCAACTTCTCCCAGGTAGGCACGGGGCACCCGTGCTCCCAACGCTGGGTAGCCCCTGTGCGCCGTGGCCTCTTCTCTGATGATCCACTCTATGAGCAACCAGAGCTGGTCCTTTCACTGTCAGGAGAGGTCATTTGGGGACGGGGCATTTCTCCAGCTGCTCTGCGGTGGGGGTGCTGGGGACTGGGTGTGCACCAGAACTGAGGGGAACTGCTTCTACCGGTGTGATGGCACCTGTGGGGAAAATACACTCCCCACCTGCTGTGCTTGCCTGAGCAGAAGGATGATCAGAAACAAAAAAAGCAGCAGATGATCAGAAACAAAAAAAGGGAGCTGCTGGTCAGTGCTCGGCTTCCCGGAGACAGATCTCTGGTGTTGGCAGAGCAGGGGCTTGTCTTTGAGGCGATGGTGGAGGCGCACACAGCACTATGCATCCGAAGCTAGCACAGAGGGCCACAAGACACTGATGACATTGCCGGGGAAGGGTCCTGGTCCTGGTGTGTGTGGAGGCCTGGGTTGCGCTTTGAGCTTAAGCACTGCTGGATTCCCAGGCCTTTGCAAAACAAAGTCCCTGGGCGGAGCCAATGACTCACACTCCATGACTAACCTACAGGTTGGGAGTTCAAATCTCTGTAGCTGCACCGTGGAAGAAAGGCGTGGCAAGCTGTTCCTGTAACGATTACAGCCCCGCAGAGCAGCTCTACTCTGTAACGCACTGGGCTGCCACGGATGGGACTCACCTCCACTCACAGGCCCAGCCTGTTGCTGTTTGCTGTGTTGGCAAAGCTCTAGGTGCCCAGAGTTTGGGTGGCATAGTGGTTAAGCACTGGGTTCCTTATGGCAAGGTCAGCCACGCAAAACCACCAGCTACTCCTCGGGAGAAAGATGAGGTTTTTCACTCCCATAATGAGTTACAGTCTCAGAAACCCTTGACAAGGGCAATTTGACCTTGCCCTGTGATGTTGGAGTGGTTATACATTGGGCTGTGAACCACAAGGTCAGCAGTTTGAAATCACTAGCTGCTCCTTGGGAGAAAGAAGGAGCTTCCGACTCCCATAAAGGAGTTAGTCTCAGAAGCACACAGGGGGCAGTTCTACCCTGCCCCATAGGGGTATCATGAGTCTGCATGGACTTGATGGCAGTGAGGTGGTTTGGTTTGGGGTTATGGGGTCTAGGAGTAGGAATGGACTTGCTGGCAGCGCGTGAAAGGTGACCTTCACACTGCCCCCTCGAGCAGGAGAGAGTCAGGCAAGGATCGCCTGGGGGTTCATAATTTCAGAACAATGTGCTGGGCGCAAAGGTTGACAGTTCTGATTTCTGAACCTGAGGAGTGGGGCCAGGGAGAAAGGCAGGGCTTAGGAGGTGTAGAAGCTCATGGCCCTCTTAGGCAGAGGTCATTGACAACTCACTGGCCCCCGATGCCTGTCTCAGGATCTGGGAACCACGAGCTCCCATCTGTGCCCTGAGAACAAGCCTGTCAACCTGGGGGTGGGAGGGCCCGCACCCTGGGCCAGGTGCTCCTACAAGGAGGCTGCAGGACAATACTTGGGTGCATGCCTCTAGTGAGATGTGGGTCTGGACACACGCGCCCCCAGTGAAGAGCTTGCCCCATAAATTGGCTGGGCCAGAAACCCTAGCACTAGGCACCAGACTTGCTCGCTGCTCCAGAGACGTTGCAAGCTTTTCACCAGGGAAACAGCAGCAGAAGCCGACCCCCCTTTGGAGCGCTCTGGCCTTTGTTTTTCCAGGGGAAATGCAATATTGTCCCCGGGGAGGTAAGAAGGCAGATTGATTTGCCGGCCAAATGAAAGAACGGTTTGTCCGTTCTCCTGCTGGCTCTCCCATAATTGTGGAGTCCTTACCCAGAGGACCCCGGTGGCAGGAATATTGGGGCAGTTAGTCACGCCCCGCAGGGTTCTGACTACGCCTGACTCCGTCTCCACAGGGGGAAATCCTGTGTATTCTCTGGCCCAGCACTGAGCCCTCTGAACCGACCGGCCTTCTCCCTCTGAAGTGACTTTTCCCTTGCCAGGCTCAGGAGCTGATATTGTGTGTGTGTGTGTGTGTGTGTGTGTGTGTGTGTGTGTTGGGGCGGGTGGAGGGGGCCCCTCAACGCCCATCTCATTTTGGAGGGAGATTTGTGGGAGGCCTCTCTGTCCAGCAGCCTAGATATCTTTTTCAGGTTAGGGAGGTGGGGGAATCCACCATCACTTTCAACACCCTCTTTGTACCACAAAGGGACCGGATTAGGGCTGCAGGGAGCGAACAGACCCTCTGGTTAAACAGCCCCTGGCTTTAATCCGACTCCTTTAAAACAACACAGCTCTCTTCGGGGTCTGGAAACAGTGCTGTTCAACCAAATGACGGCTTGGGGAGGCTGAAAACATTTGCCGGAAACTGTGTGAAGCTGTGTTTTAGGGAAAAAGTTCCCGAGAGCTATCCATCGGCCGCCAAGGAGCCGTTGACAGTGTCCAAGGCTCACGTCTGGAGATCAAACGGGCTGTAATCTCTGGTTTGTAAAATCCTGCCCACCCAGTCCCCAGCCTGTGCCCTGCTTAAGCTTGTTCTTGGCTCCAGCTTCTCTGAAGGGCGGCAGGAAGCAGGTCCCAAACAAAAGGCAACAGGATTCCATTGGGTGCCCTAATCTACACAGCCTTCCCTACCTACCACAGGGTCTGTCCCAGCTGACTGCCCTGTCATCATTTTGGAGCAAGGCGAGGAAACCCCCCTCTTGGGGAGCCCAGGGCTGACCAGGAAGGCTGAATGAGGTCCAGGCACCTGCATGGACGGGGCTGTGAGGGATTCCAAACCCCGAGTCCGAGCAGCAATAGCCGTCGCAGTGAAATGGTGTGCGCGCACGTGCACTGCTTGATAGGAACATCTGTGATGCATTATAGTACTGAAATATCTGTTAAGTGCATCCGATTTTTATTTTTCTCTCCTCTCGGCATTATTGTTATTGCAAAATGTTTGGAGTGTGTGTGTGTGTGTGTGTGTGTGTGTGTGTGTGTGTGTAAGGGGGGGGGGTGAACCGTACACAGTGATTTTAAGAGGGAAGCCTGAGATTTTAGTTTTAATTGGAGTGTTTTAAAAATTTGTATAGTGTTGCCTTGTGAAGTAGAGAAAGTTCAAGTGTTGGGCCTCCGAGAACCAGAGGAACCTCCAGAGCTGAAAGAGGAGCTAACTTCCAGCCTTGCCTAGTTTCGGAGATTGGATGTCATGGTAGATTTGGGTCTCTAATTTCAAAACAAACTGAGGGTGTTGGGCCCGATAACACCACGCGTTTTCTCTGTGACCTTGGGCAAGTCACTTCCCGTCTGTGGCTCTTGTGGCCCCTGCCTGTGAAATGAGACACCAGGATTAGGTCATCTTTCAACCTCCTTGTAGCCCGGGCATTCCGCATGATGGCTGTAATCATTTCCATGTGCCAGGTACCCTGAGGAGGCTTCAGGGCCTTTGTCACTCCCCTGAATTCTTGCAACAACCTTTGGACTTTGTAAGGTGCACACTCTGAAAGGGTGCAGGACCTGCCCAAGGTCACACGGTTAATAAGGAACAGCACCACTCTGCTGGACTCTGATGGAAGGATGTGCTTTTCCCGGCACCCTTTGCTGTTTCTCTTGCTTCCTCCTGGCTAGAAATTCAGTCTCCTCCTGTAATTCTTTCTTAGTCCTGTCTTCCTTATTGTTCTCCCTTTAGAACATGGTATCCACAATTTTATTTTTTGGAGAAACCTTACTTGTAGAGAAATTATTTCCTTTGGCTGTGCAGTTGGGATGGAGACTGCGGGTGCTCAGCATAGTGGTCCAAGAGCGAGGAGAGCTGCTTCTAGGTGTCAGTTTCAGCCTTGGGCCTAAAACCCCCAGCTTGTATGTTACCTGGGGCAAGGCTCCTTGACCCTCATTGATTACAGGGGAAACTTTGAGTTGCCAGCTTCTCAAAGTTGAGCTGATTGTGTGAGGACTTGTGGGAGATTGTGGATAAGGTAAAATAACCTCCTGGATGTACGAGCGGGTACCCCCCCAAAACTGGAAAAAAGCTCCACTAGGTGGAGCTTTCATAGTAGTACGTGTATGCGCACACTCACGCACGCA